GAACTACTTTGTGTTCCGAGATTTCGCCTATTATCTATGGGAGGTAGATCTTTCTCTGCTATGGCTCCCAAACTTTGGAACACATTGCCCCTGTCTCTCCGGACAATAACCACACTCCACGAATTTAAGTCTAAACTAAAAACCTATATGTTACACCAATATTACCTGTTATAATGTCATGTCAAGAAAATATGATTATATCACCCCAATTTTACAGTCTCTGCACTGGCTACCTATTAAGTTCCGTATCAGTTACAAAATATTATTACTTGCCTATAAGGCCCTTAATGGGTTAGCTCCTGTGTACCTAACTAGACTTCTACCACGCTACAATCCATCACGCTCCCTAAGGTCACAGAACTCTGGACTTTTGGTAGTACCTAGGATAGCAAAGTCCACTAAAAAAGGTAGAACTTTTTCATATTTGGCTCCCAAACTCTGGAATAGCCTTACATTGGAATGGCAGCTACGCTAATTATATCTCTATTTGTTTCTTTGTTTTTGCCACAAAACAATTGCCACATTGACATCCCGTGGTAACTTCAGTCTGGATCCAGAACACATGAGAAGAGATGATACCAACCCCTCAGAGGACCTCAGATGATGCCAACCCTGAAACAACATACAGAACTACCACATTTTGCTATAAGTTTGATTGCATCATATAATAATTGCTGTTAATAGTGTTCATCGTCTATTTTATTACGTCTTAAATTGATTTTTCCGTACTGCTGGTTCGTCTGGTCAGAGGAGAATTGGCCCCCCCGACTGAGCCTGGTTTTTCCCAAGGTTTTTTCTCCATTCTGTCACCGATGGAGTTTTGGTTCCTTGCCACTGTCGCCTCTGGCTTGCTTAGTTGGGGACACTTCATTTCCAGCGATATCGTTGACATGATTGCAAAGATACTATTTAAACTGAGCTGGATGTTGACATCACTGAATTCAATGATGAACTGTCTTTAACTGAAAAATTTGTTTACTATTGTCATTTTGCATTATTGACACACTATTTTCCTAATTAATGCTGTTCAGTTGCTTTGACACAATCTGTATTGTTAAAAGTGCTATATAAATAAAGGTGACATAACAAGGGGAGAAATACAGCAACCAGTAACAAAAGGGGAGGGAACAACAATCCAAGCACGTAACACAGGGTACAAGATAGTAATAGTAGTAGCCTAATTCAGAGTAATAATACATGGCTCAAAACTTAAGCACCTTCTCAAAACAGTTCTGAAGCATGCTTTTTGTTTATGTTTGTTGACAGACACCAGTGTTTCCCACAGACTTGCAAATGCAAATTCATTCTCTGCCAGCAGGAGGCGCCAGAATGCCCTTGAATAAAATCTAAAAAACACGCAGATTTATATGACACAGCTGACATAAAACTGATGAGAATATTGCTTAAGAATAAATCATATTTGCAAACACACACACACACACACACATATATATATATATATAAAAGCTCGATACCATAGAGCCCCCCCACACATAACAAATTCCAATTTAACCTCTGCCTAAACCCACCCATATCCACCCCTAAACTTACCCATCTCTACCCCTAAACCTACCATCTCCACCCCCTAGATGTGGATCCAACCCTGCCCCCTGGATCTTTGTTCTGCAGTGAGGGGCTACTGAAAATCTGAGGGGGCACGTGCCCTCTCATAAACTTATATTTTATTCACAATAGAATATAGATAACATATCAAATGTTGAAAGTGAGACATTTTGAAATGTCATGCCAAATATTGGCTCATTTTGGATTTCATGAGAGCTACACATTCCAAAAAAGTTGGGACAGGTAGCAATAAGAGGCCGGAAAAGTTAAATGTACATATAAGGAACAGCTGGAGGACCAATTTGCAACTTATGAGGTCAATTGGTAACATGGAGGCCAATTATATATATATATATATATATATTCAAATTACCTAACTAAAAAGTGTGCAATAATACATGTGTTTGAAAATAAAAATGAATAAAAATGTGTTCTACTGTCTGAGGTCTGCCATCAGGAGTTAAAGGGGATGTTATGTGACACACTTCTTTCTTTTTCCCCCCTTGTTTTTACTTTTAACTTTTTTCCCTATGGTTTTAAAAAATGGGGAAGGGGGTTCAAACCTTTGTCACTTTTTTTCACTCCTGATGAGTGTGTATCCTTCCATGCACAAGCTAGTAATGGGCTCTTGACTTGCAGAAAGTTTTCTGCGCGAGTTAGTGATAGAGGCTACTAGAATACAGGGGGGCGCCGACACTGATATTGCATACCCCTCGGCAAATGTGCAGTTGCGCCCCTGGTGCTGGCGCAATGTTTTTGTGACTTTCGCAGTCTGTAACCGGTACCATGGCGTCTGGCGAGGAGGACGGAACTGTTGAGGAGAAAGAAACCAACAACAAGAAGCGGACGAAAGGCACCATCGCAACGGCATGGCTCACGTTCTACAATATCGCCATGACAGCTGGGTACTTGCTGGTGAAAGTTTAAGTTTGAACTGCTTTTATTTAATGTACTTGCTTAATGCAGCCGTGTGTCTGTTTATAGTGTGACCATTGTAAATCATTCGATTGTTAGGTTACCAAAGACAACTTTAGAAGCTTCAAGATAGACTATTACGTTAAACACTCACAGTGCGTGTACATAATTGATAGTTTTGTTTTATAAAGGGTCAGCTGTTACAAAGTTACAGGAATATTCTTCACAGCTACCGAAGCGTGCTCAGCCTTTCCTAATACGGTTGACTGAACTGCACGTGTCGTCCCCGTCTCCTCAACTGTCACAGTGATATGTTTAGCGCTGACACTGAAACTCTGGCCCGGCATGCCGAAATGCTCGACAGACAAACTGCAACTAGGAAAAGTGAAAGACGGGATAATTGTAATGAAAGCGCAGTGAAGCGGTTTTCAATTCAACATAACTTGCGTGCTCTAAACCAGTGTGGACTTAAAAGGGCATATTCTTGTGAAAAAGAAGTGTCGACCAACGTACTAAAACACGTTAAGTAGGCTATTCTATAATTTTAACCAGGAGCATAGCCATAATATCAGAAGTGAGGGGGACAGAAATGTTATGTGTGTGTGTGTATATATATATATATATATATATATATATATATATATATATATAACATTACAATATAATATTTCTGTAATCTATATAACCTACCAGTCAGCAGTTTTTGAACAGTAAGATTTTTAATGTTTTATTAAAAAAAAAGTCTCTTCTGCTCACCAAGCCTGCATTTATTTGATCCAAAGTACAGCAAAAGCAGTAATTTTGTGAAATAGTTTTACTATTTAAAATAACGGCTTTCTATTTGAATATATTTTTAAATGATTGCTGTGATCAAAGCTGAATTTTCAGCATCATTACTCCAGGCTTCAGTGTCACATGCTTCAGAAATCATTCTAATATGCTGATTTTCTGCTCAAGAAACCTTTTTTAATTATTATTATCAATATTTAAAACAGTTGAGTAATTTTTTTCAGGATTCTTTGATGAATAGAAGGATCCAAAGATCAGCATTTATGTGAAATAAAAAGCTTTTGTAACATTATACACTATACTATTCAAAAGCTTATTTTTTTGGAAAAGAAATTATAGAAATGAACACACTTATTTAGCAAGGATGCTTTAAATTGATCAAAAGTGATGATAAAGCCATTTATAATGTTACAAAATATTTTTTATTTCAGATGACCTAAATGCTGTTCTTCTGAACATTCTATTCATCAAAGAAACCTAAAAAAATTCTATTCATCTGTTTTCAACATCATAATAATAATAAATGTTTTTAGAGCAGCAAATCAGAATATCAGAATGATTTCGATCAAAAGTGATGATAAAGCCATTTATAATGTTACAAAATATTTTTATTTCAGATAACCTAAATGCTGTTCTTCTGAACATTCTATTCATCAAAGAAACCTAAAAAAATTCTATTCATCTGTTATAATAATAATAATAATAATAAATGTTTTTAGAGCAGCAAATCAGAATATCAGAATGATTTCTGAAGGATTGTGCGACTGGAGTAATGATGCTAAAAAAATTAGCTTTGAAATCACAATAAATTACATTTTAAAATATATTCAAATAGAAAATAATTATTATAAATAGCCTAGTAAAAATATTTCAAAATTGTAGTGTTTTGCTGTAGCCTACTCTGGATCAAATAAATGCAGGCTTGGTGAACAGAAGAGACCTTTTAAAAAAACATTAAAAATCTTACTGTTCAAAAACTTTTGGCTGGTTTCAGCTTTAATATTTCTCTAATTTCTAGCTTTTAATTGGCTTAGAAATCAGATAACTGCTGGACAATAACCAATAATAATTATTTACTAATATACTATTAGTAAATTATTTACTAATATAATTGTTTACTAATAATTCTAATAGAGACTAACATTTTTTTATCACATAATAAGGCAGAATAGTTTCTATATCCTATGTCAATTAGCACGGCATTGTTCATATACTTTATTTATTACCTGGAGATGACTTGACAAACACAAATAAACCATATTGTCGCAATCGTATGTTTAATGTCTTCATGTTTCCAAATGTTTCTGTTTTTCTGTGAAAACAACTGTTTTCATACAGCGATAGCTGGAGGCTTTTGTCCATATTAGGAATTTCCTCATACGACTTTCTGCGCAAGAGCGCCCTTCGGCTTCGAGTATGAATGAAACATACACTGTGTTTAGCACTCCGCGATGTCGCGATGTCATATCGCCTTATTCTGGGTCTGAATAAAACATCAGATTATGCACAGACTATCCTGTCTCTTTGAATTTAAATCTATATTTATTCACACCTGCTCTTGAAAACGTCTATGCGATCACACTTGCCCGAAAAAGTGCGGGGGACGAATTTATGTGATATTAAAAGTGGGGGGGACATGTCCCCCGCGTAATCTACGCCCCTGATTTTAACTGTAGTATGTTTTTGAATTTTACTTTTACAGTTAATGCATTTTAAATGTTCAGAATCGCAACTTCACTTAGATTTTTTTTTTATTATCCTGTGCAATGACTTTCATGCTTAAAAGTGTGGTTTAAGTGACTAACTACTTAATGTGTATGAACTGTATCTTTACCTGGAAATAAGGTGAAAAGCACAGCCTTACATTATAGGCTTTTTAATTAGTTTTGGTGTTAAAGTCAAAGTTTTTATTTATTTATATTTTATTGGTCTTTTATTGCAGGTGGCTTGTATTGGCTGTTGCCATGGTCCGGTATTACCTTCAGAAAGGCACCCATAAAGGCTTGTACAGAAATATAGCCAAGACACTTAAATTTTTCCAGACATTTGCACTACTAGAGGTAAGATCAGCTGCCTTTAACCCCCATTGTGATATAAACATGCACTTTATTTTACTCAAATTTTGCAGTATCATTTTGTGTATTGATTAATGGACACCACCTTGAAGGAAAACAAAAACCTTCTCCTGTGATGAACTCTTTGTATTAACAGTTGTTGAATGAGTTACTCTCAGGTAACCATATGTGGGCTTAATTCCTGCTAAAATTAGTCATGTGATCTTCTCAAACTTACTGGCTTGTCCCTTAGTCCAGTGGTCACTTGGGTTAATCATTGGGAGAACATTCTATTTATTTAGTTAGTTTTTTTTATAAATGTTGGAGTTCCTCACTCTACATATTAAAATAATTTTTATTTAGATGAATTACAAACTGCATTTTTACACACTTGCAAGAAAGTGACACTACTTTCAAATAAAAAAAAAATAGCAACTTAATCCTCACACAAAGGGACTTTGGCATTTATGATCACATAATCTTGAGTGGTGCATCCTTATCGTTCATTCTGAAAAATTATTTTTTTTTTTTAGAAAGATGTCTTAACCTGGTATTTAAACCCAATGAGAAATATTGTGTTTTAGCCCCACACAAAAGACACAGATACATTCAAATAAATATGACACAGAGATTTGACTCTTTCTTTATTTTTTTGCTACAACATTTTGCTACATCTAAACGGCTACAAACATATATTTGGTTGCTCAAGTTAACATTCAAATTAAACAATGCCTCAACTATGTCAGGAATCTTTCTCACAGACACAATGTTAGCTTGATACCCAAAATAGTCAACACTTTGTTATCTGCCAAGCAAGCAATTTTGTTTTTGTTATCTTTGTTTGGATTCTTCGAACGTTTAGATCCTTCAGAAGTTAGGGTGCAGTAGCATTTGACTTTGTGTGGGTTATTGCAAATAGCCATATTTGAGACAGTAATGCCATGCACCCTTCAGAGTGTTCACTTCAAGTCCTCTGCCATTTAAAGAGAGCAGTGCATAGTAATGCTTACCTTTGAATGGTATTCAGCCTTCATTATGAGCTCTGTGGAAGTTTTAAATAAATGAAGCTGTGTGTATGAACACTCAACTCACTGTAAATTGCTGGACAAGTGAATTGCCTATCCAAGTGAATGTAAGTGTTATGTTAAGTGTGACCATTAGATGGTGCTTGTCATTCAAGCATTGTAACCTTACCTCTGAGTCAGCCTAGGCATATATAGAAGTAGATATAGAAGACAGACTGTTGTTTACTTCCAGTTGTACTGTTAGTGTGTTCTAAACTTATGGAATAAAGAATAAGGTTAATTCCATACCATAATCTCATATGAGCCTCACATTCAATGTTACATATACATGCTGGCGATGTAGTATGGTCTGCATTTTTGTTGCTTTTACAATACTTTGTAAAAAATGAGGAACTGTTACCCGAAAGCAATATTATGAGGCAAATTACCCACAAACTGGCTAAAATATGGTGACTGAAATGTTATCAATGATATTTAATAATGTATGGGACTGGGTAAAAAGGCATGCAGCATCAAAACGGGTTCACTGAAGAGTTGTGTCTTTTAGCATGCTTGCATCTGTGTTCTGAATCTGTCTTCATTTATTGTGCTCATTCTTTTTATAAAGGAAATGTCCTTAGCTCATTACTTCTGTTTTTATTTCAGGTTGGACACTGTGCTATTGGTATGTACTGCATTTGAAAGTGTTATATAAGCATTTAATTCCAGATATATAAAGAGATTTTCAGGTGTTATTTTTGGTGTGCTAAAGGAATTGTGCGGACATCTGTAATTGTGACTGGGGTCCAAGTATGTTCTCGGATATTCATGGTTTGGTTTGTTACAAACAGCATCAGACAGGTCAGTGTGCATGTCAGTGTGAATCATGGTAACTATTCACTGTTAACCTGTGTACAAGCTCTAAATTGGCTTTTACATTTGACTATTTTTTCTTTCATTTGAAACATGCACTAAGATTCAGAATGAGGAGAGTGTGATCTTGTTCGTAGTAGTTTGGACGATTACAGAGATCACTCGCTACTCTTTCTACACTTTCAACTTGCTCAATCATCTGCCATACTTCATCAAGTGGGCCAGGTACAAATGTGGCATGTCACTACATTTAATTTCCCAACAGCAGAATTGCATGGCTTGGTTTCACTTGTTTACTCTGCATGGTGTGGTTTCAACATGTCCACACAAAATCAATCTAAGTGCTGCGCATTTGAAAATGCAACACATACCAGCAATTGTCCACCAATATAATAGCCCTATGATTCACACAGCCATAAATCAGTATCAGTATTGTAATTTTACAGTGTTCTGTCAAATTAGTAGTACTAGTAGTATTGCTCAATTTATAGTTATTATTTTATTCCAGGTACTACTAGTACTTTTTTTTTTGCCATCCAGCTGGTCCTATTGCAAGAGGATAGTGATGGCCAGAGCTGTGGTTTTTAGGGGTTCAACATGTAGCACTGAAACCCTATTGTAATTGTTAGAATGGCCAAGGATCAGCAATCTCCATGTAAAACTGATTGTGCAGACCAAACCGTAAGTCATAGAGACTTGAAACTTGGAGGGATGATAGTACTCATACTGCCTACCACGTGACCAAGGCTCACCCCAATCTGCCTGACCGGAGCACTGCAGCGATCAAAAGTACGAAATTGCTCATAACTCAGTCGCAGGCTCAACTGTCTTATGTCGTTGGAATCCTTGGCTCACGCCAGACAAAACGGACATCTCAGATCTTCAGGTATTTTTAAGTTTTTGAAAAAAATACTTTTGCGAACTAGTCCTAGGTTTTTCATTTGATAGGAACCAAAACAGCAGAAAGATTCTCTGGAGAGTGAATATAAATATTTATTTTAAAAAAAGTTGAACTTTCGACTCAGCGTCGCAAAGGGACATCAAAACGTTCTAAAGTGGCAGGGCCACTTTTAGTAAAATGACTATAACTCCTGAACGGAACGAGATATCTTCGCCAAACTCAGAACACTCATGAGCTCAATCTGAGGTGATGGGGAAAAAAACACAGAGCTTGGCCACTCCATAGCACTATAAAATGGAAAAAAACATAAAATGGCTATAACTGCTCAACCATTTGTCCTATCAACACGAAAATCGGTGTGCACTGTCTTGTCCAAAGTGCCACAAGTGTTTATAAGGACAGTTGCGCATCTCAAAAAACATGGCCGCTTTTGGCTGATGAAGTTTGAGCACCTATTAGACAACGTTAACGGAGGCCAATCGGAACAAAACTTGGTTAGCCTGTCTCTCAGGTCTGTGATAAATTTGAAAGAAAGTGGCCACTGGGGGCGATATCGCATTTTTCAAGGCCGTAAACGATTGTACATTGCGCTGTTTTTCGTATCAATATTCATATCATATGATAGAACTCCTCATTCCGGACAACTTTGCCTCTAAAACCACTGCTGTCAATCAAATCGTTTGTTAAACGATTGAGAAGATGTAAAAAAATAAAATAAATACTTTTGCAAACGAGTCCTAGGTTTTTCACTCAATCTGGAGAAAAAAACAACAACAACAACTGCAGTACAATTCTCTGGACTCTCTAGGTCAATAATGTAGAAATAATAATGTAAAAATGTTGAAATTTACCCTTTGAGAAGCTATAATGTGGTCATTTAGAAAATGGGCCCATCCAAATTTACCCAAAATCCTATAAAGCCTAAAGGAAAACTAAAAACTTAATGAAAACTGGTAAGCACATGCGACAGGTGATTCTAAACAAGCATGCAAAGTTTTAGGGAGATGGTGCTATAACAGTCATAAACATAAAAAAACATCATATTTCTATGATAAATTACCTGGATTTGCCAAAAATGCTTTTTTAAAAATCATTAATTTAGGTGGTTACAAACTTATTAAATGATATGTAATATCTTATATATATATATGTATATGTATGTGCTTAAATGCCTTAAAGCGCTTGAACCCTGGTAATCACTGCTTGCAGCTATATTTATACTTTTCCTTGTTAAATAAGATTTGGTTGAGGTGATCACCTAAGCAGTATGCCTGTGTTGGAATTCAACAGACACTGGAATAGAATTGTTGCCACACATGTAGAGATGCCGATTTAAGAAAAGAAAATTGTATACATGCATAACAGTATGTCTTGAACATTTTGAGTAATTTTATGGAACCTTTTTGCAACTTCGTGATCACAGAAAAAAGAAGAAACAAACTGCATCAGCAGAAATTGTTCTCGTCTTCAGCGAAAACATTTCAATGAAATACGAGTGTTTAGTACCCGACTGGGAAACATTGATGGTTGTTTTGAAACTATTGAAAGTCTTCTTGATGCTATGTCCTCGAGTGAATCCAGCTTAATGGAAGCTGGAAACTGGTCAGATTTCTGCGCTACGTGGACAGAAAATGCATCCTAGAGGCAGGATTGAAAAAATGGCAAGATACTAGGGCTGCCAGTAATTACTATTTTTATTTCGATTAATCTATCGACTAATTTATCGATTAATTGATTAATCTAAACGGCTAATTTCCCACACAAAAAATCAACAATTTTACTTGAGAATATTTTATTAAACTATATCTCATTAAACCAAATGAAATCCAAAAGTCAAAAAGTAAAGTGCAACATAGAGTGCAAGAAGCAAGTGTCCATCTCATAGTCCAAATCACTGAGATCAAAGTTCAGTATTATAGTGTAAGAATGACAACATATCCACATGTTCTAATCTACTACTAATAAAATGATAATCAAAAAACACTTTTTAAAGGAGTATTAACCAGAAATATTATTTACCAGAATTTATTTAGGAGAAAAATGTAAATGTGTAGTATTTCTGAAAAAAATTATAAATGTAATAAAATCAATTCATTGGAGATGCTTTTGATTATTAAAATTTTATGAAACCATTAAAATGGAATCCAGAAAATAATGGAAAACAGAATTTGGTAAAGATAAAACTGTAAAACTCCATCAATTAGACAGGCTTATTGATTAATAAAATTTAATTTAACCATTAAAACAGTATAGAAAAATGAAAATGGAAAAAAATGAATTTGGAAATTAAACGGATTTCATAGTGCCCTATAATTATATATATATATTTTTTTTGTGGTAATAAAAATAGATGTAAGTGAACGATAGCCTTTAAAATAACTTAAAATACATATATAATAGCAACGAGGCAATAATAATTAGTTCAAATAAAGTATCAAAAGCAAGAAATCATATGGTTTTATTGAACAAAACTGTTAAAATACATAATGTATTATAAACAATAGAGTTAATGTACATTACTCATTACAACAAAGGCCTGCAGAGGGCGCCAACGGCCTGATGATTATTTTGACACATTGATGTGCGATGTAATCCTTGTTTATTTAATATCTGATGAAATGGAGCATGTTGCGTTCCCAGATGAACGTTATAATAAACCCAAACTCACCATATTATGCAGAGATGGAGTTTTGAGACGCTCCACACATGTAAATGATAACAGTTCCTGTGGAACTACTGTGAAAGGAGCCGCTGTGTGACGCATATACTTAACCTACACGCATGTCAATAATTAAAGCGCATATACTGTATTAGAACTGCATCGCATATAATTATTTAATTAAATCGTAGCATTTGTGAATTCCCAATTATGCTTAATTATGTCTTAATTAATTTTAAATGGGTTTAATATATCATGCAGCCTTGGAAAACAGACTAATAATGTGTTTTATACATTATCGTCTGTGAAATGCGCCACTTCCGGTATTTTGCCGGTTATGCCGAGTTCACACTGCACGATTTTAGCCCGATTATTCACTCGCTGACAGGTTTTGCAAAATCGCAGACAAATGCCCGAAATCGGAGGCAAATCGGTGCTCGTTCACGCGAGTGACAATCATGCAGTGTGAATTATCAAAGACGCGATCTGAGGGAATCGCCTACGCCCGCAAAATATTTGGCATCCTAAATATCTGGAGCTGTCGGCGATTCACAATCACGCTGTGTGCAATAATTTCTGACTGAAAACTACATCGGCGATGACCTACAGCCAATGAGAGACCAAGATACAGGGCAGAGGGAAGTTTGGGGAGGAGTTATAGACCAGAATATCAGTATTTTAATAGATATATGAACAATTATATCATACAGAAACAAGCACAAACATTTGCTTGACCAGCCACAACATCAGCATAACAGTTACTGCAAAATTATTTACCTCCAACTCTCTTTGCAGAACACCCAATCCCTGTTCCCTGCATCTCCCTCCTGCATAATCAGTTTTTAATTTTTTTCCTTGTAGCAGGAAATCAGCTCATAGACAATTTGTGGGCTATATATATTTTTTTTTAATAATTCCAGTCTTTCTTGAGAACTCCGGTCTGACGCACACGGGTTTTTGCGTTATTTCATTATCACTTCTCGCGTGTGTTTTGTTGTGAAACGGACCAGACAGAGTTGTCTGCGATTCTTCCTATTGTAAAGTCATGCAGTGTGTAACCTCCTGTCGCCGATCCATCGTGCAATGTGAACACAGCAGCGACTGACTGCTGCCTCAGATAGTCGTGCAGTGTGAAAACCACGGTGACCTGACGACTTTTTGCAGTGTGAACTCGGCATTAGTCGACGCGAGCAAAATGAAGTCGAGGATTTAAAAAAATCGAATAGTCGAATAAAATCGACGAATCGCGACAGCCCTACAAAATACTCAGGGCAAGCAGATATGCTTCTTTAAAGATCTCTCAGTTGATGTGAAAAGGAAACTTTGGAAATTCGACATGGAAAAGAATATTCTAGTCGATTTCAAATTGTTCTGTTGTTTGTTTAGCTGGCTAAGTTGCGCTGTCTTCATGATTCTGAGCTTTGCATGTTCAGTACTCTGGCTGCGTTGGAGGAGTTCATAGTGACTGCAAGATAAGTGATAAAGGCGTAGGGACTTTAATTTTCCTTGGTTTCAGGGTTTGTTTCTAATCTGTTTGGAATGACAAATGTGACTGTTAGTCCATATAATAGATTTTATATACATTCTACCATTTTTTTTGTATATGAGTATTCCGAGATAATGATGTTTACTTTAAAGGGGTCATTGGATGCCCATTTTTCACTA